CTATTTCCACTGCTTCTGCGTCCAACTTGGCATTGTTAGGGCATCAACATAAATATCTACATGAACACATGCATGTGTGAGGGCAACATACATGAAGCATATGCTATGAGATTTCTCTTTAGTAAAGATTATATTTTGAATATCCTTTATTTGGATGTGGCCAGATGAAATATGTCAGTAAGAATGACCATGATGGTGGCCTCACCATCTAACTATAACCTGAATTATTAGATCAAAACCAGTGCCGTTGGCCATCTGTTACATAATTACTTTGACACCGACCACATATTAAAATTGGTTGGGAAATAATAGGTACAAGGAAAGATTTGAGAGTATGAGTTTAGAGCTCATAAATCATCATTCTTTGCTTTGTCAACAAAGCTCTAAGTTTTATGGATAATATTCCTCAATGCTTTGTAAGTATGGACGACCTCCAAGAAGAGATGGTCTATTGAGAGTTAGTTATAATATTCCCCATGTGGCCATCAGCAATGGGGAAACATCTTTCTAAGAGACCAGGAATTTTTAATCCCCACTGGTTGTGAACTGATTTAAGAAGTAACAGACAACATTTCTATCACGTGCACTTAAATAAGAAGAGTATATTCTGATACAGACTACTCTGTGATGGAAGGGAAAGTAGGTAATGAGAAAGACAAGGGGAGAGGCTGATCAGAGTCTGCCCCCCACTTGTCTTCCATTTATGCCTCAGTCCTGCTAGATATCACTACAGATCACTGACGCTGAAGTTCCTTATCGAATGAACTTCTTCTCCCAGGAAGAAGACTGCTTGCAGGGAAAATCATTGTGGGACAGAAACACTCTTAATTATGGGATAGGCTTGGTTCTGCCCTCCATGTCAATAAGTCTTCTGCCTCCCATATTTAATTCTATGGATAGAAGAGATAAATATTTGTGACAGGATTCAGATGCTGCTACAGCTTCTACCAAGAACATTTTACAGTTATTTCTGATGAATAAGTTCAGTGGAGCACAGAATATGCCCCCGTTGGACCAATTCCACTTTGTGCTTCTTTTTTTTTTTCAATGTAGCTCTAAAACGGAATCAAAGCCCTGTTGCCTCCTCAAATTTAGTGCAAGCGTTCACCTCAGAAGTGTCTGCAAGTGGCCAAAAGAAATTGAGGCCTACACTGTTTAAATGCAGCAGAGAGCTTGTAATAAAAACAGATGCAAATAGAAGCAGCAAAGGGGGGGGGAGGTTAATTACACTTCACACACACACAGTCCTCTTGCCACCCTCTGTTTTCTCTAATATGTTAGCCCATATGGATCATTGATTTTCTAGAACTACTCCCTGGGTTTGTGTGGACATTTCTTTCACAAAATGACATCTAATTTCCTAACAGTTCTTGGAAGCTAAATTTCATCACTAGGTCTGAATCCAGTTCCTTCATTGATTTTCAATATTAGGGATATGCAAGGCCTGCCTTTCTTTGCCTTTTTGTTTTACTCTTTTTCATAAACTAAAACCTTCACTGAAGAGGCTGAAAATGGGAAAAAATCCAGCTCATCTGTCAGATATTTCTAGAGTTACGTAAAATGGAATGATATTTGTACAGTTGCAAACAGGAAAATGAAAATGTGTCATGTGTTCTTTGAGATGAAAACTATATGATAATCAGAAAAACAGTCTCAAGTTTAATTGGCCTGATTCTAAGCTCTCATTCTTTTATCAATTCATGCATAAATCAGTAACAGTTACTTTCCTCTCATAGAGCTAATCATAATCTTACAGATTATAACCACAGGTTCAATGACACGATGAGTTTGAGATTTTTTTTAAAAAATGCAAGACACTTACGTTTCACTTGCTCTGTTTTGCTTCCTTCTAGGAAAATAAAGAACAAAACCAAGGAGACTATATATTTCATGCCTCCCATTTTCCACGTTCTTCTTCTTTGAGCTACTGCAAAATGCAATTCAGAGACTCCGAGGAGTGATTGACTAAACCTGTTGAGAAGAAAGCAGAAAGAAGTAATAAAAACAGATCTCTTGGAACTGATGAACATGAGTAATACTTAGGTTTTTAACTTGCTAGAAAAAATACCAAAGAATGTACCGTAGTATAGGCATTGTTTGTAGAAGACAAAGGATTTGCCTCTTTTGTCTTGTAAAGATTATGAGAGGAAATTCACCTAAGTTGAGTACATATTCCTGTTCAACACTGAGGCTAAGTCCTTACAAGCAAGTCACTGTCAAATAAAAAAAATTTGGATTTTTTTCTAAAGAAATTAAAATTGATTTCTCAGAACATTTTATTGTTGGTGGGTGTGAGTAGAAAATCGGGAAATTGGAGTTTATAAGAAAAAAAAGGCTATTTTGGCAAATCCTGTACAAGGAGAAAGAGAGAGAGAGAGAGCATTTGACTGCAATGATGTCTGAAATGCAAGCTTAGTAGTCTTAGCTTCAGACTAATATTATCATGAATCCTTTAAGGGTCCTTCTTTGATCAGTGTTAACCTTGTATCTTCTATAATGTCTAAAAGAATCCTCACTATAAATGCTGATGTTGGAAAAGGTAGATGTAATCTGATAATGGATGCAATTCAGCATCTGAGAAGTTTCACTGCTTAGAACAGTTCAGACATATTCCTCCCCATGAAGTCCATTGGGAAAGGAAATGTAAAATGGGTAATTTTAAAAGAAAACAAGCAAATTTCAACAGTGATTCATTCAATTTGTCCCACCACGCAAGAGGCTGTTAAAGCAACCACAATTCTTTAAAAATAGGCATGGGTGGGCAGGATTGAAATTTTAAGCTTTTGAAGCCTTAAAACACAGAAAATTTGCTTGCATCCTGTCACGACTATTTTCCATGGACTTCAGAGTTTATAAAATTCTTCCAACAGAAGATTGGAAAATATTTAAATATTCTAGAAGCATTGCATCCAATCAGGAGTTAATCTTGAATAGGAACTTAAACATGCTGGTGTTTTCAGAGAATCCAATGTAAATAATGAACATAAACTACATATTGGAAGGAAAGAAGTGCAAGATGCTCACTTTGGAGAACTGAATCTCTTTGGGCACTAAAGTGGATGTCACAATTTTACTTTAAATGCTATGAAAGTGCCCTGATCATTAAAAAAAAAAACCATTGTTTCGGCCCAGCCTCGAGGTGCACGCTTGCAATCCCAGCAGGCAGAGGCGTGAGGATCACTTCAAGTTCAAGGCCAGTAGGGCTACACAGGGATAATTTGTAAAAAAATGTTGCAGATTATGAATCCATACACACCTGAGAGCAAAGTGATCCCACAGAATTATTTGTGCTAGCAGGCTGATCTGTACCACCCATCTGTTTTCTTTCTCAGATCGCCTAGCACATTACGAAAGGTTCAGATTCTCCTAGGGTGCATCCTTAGCCTGGCAGAAGCCTCAATTCTGATGTTTTTCATCTGTTCCCTGGGCCTCCAATCCATTTTCAGTCATTCAAAACATCCCTGTACGTTGAGAGCAACTAGATCCCTTTGAAACAAAGCATTTTCATTAACAGTTTAACACAGCCACCTACCTCAACGGAGTTCTTTCTGAGCCTACTTTAATAAGCCTTTTTTCCTCTGAGCCTCCAAAAGACAAAGATTTTTAACTGTTGAAATCTAATTTATCACAATCATATATGGCTCTCAGGGGGTACTTCTGAAGGCATGGCTTTTGAGTCTCCCCATGCAAGAATCAACGGGGTTGTTTTTCTTGTACAATGGTTGGGCGATTTGGTGAACAGTAGCATTGCTTCATAACTCAAGCTGGCAAGAAAATGGCCCTTAGAATTTTTGCTTTTCTTGGGTCCCAACTAATGTTATGAGCAAACAGGAAAGTTGGTGACTAGAGAGCAATTAATCTCTTTTGGCATTCCTGTCATCTATGTGGCCTCCCAGGAGGTGATGGAGCACATCAGAAAATGAATCGTTTTATAAATATTCACTTGTGATTTACAAGATCCTGAAAGCCTTGCCTTTGTATTTTGTGGAGAAATATGAACTGAGACGGGTTCCCTCCCCAGGGCTCTTCATTATTCTACTTCTCTTTATTCCTTTACCTTTCAATTTTGGGGCTGGGGTTGTAGAAGACATTCGCTGAGACTACAGCAAGAAACACAAGCATCACTCAGGAATCATCCGATTCTTATTTCTGCAAAGAGCCAAAGTGTCCCTAATTTTTCAAATTATACTTTGACCCAGTTAACTGGAGTTATTTCTGCATTAACTCTCTACTTCACACAGACTGCTGTGCTATCGAACTTGCACTGGCTCTTCTACAGGTTACTTAGAAATGTAACTACTGCCATGTTAGGGTGGGGGCAGAGCATCCAGGACCCAAGAAGAAAGGAACAAAGAAAACAAAACCCTGCAAATAATCGTGGGGGTGAGGATGGGGTGGGCTTTCTAAGAGATGGAGAAATGTTTCAGATACCCGAGGAAAGGCTGGCTTCAGGTACCTTTAGGAAACTAGTGTTCACATTGCTCTTTTTTCATCAAGTAAAGAGACCAGTTGCTTCTTGCTCAGCTGTAACTGCAAGACCATCTGGGCCCACTCTCAAAACAGGTCTCCTGAGTAGAACAGACACAGAGACATCACTAAGGAAAAGCCAAGGCAGCTCTTCCCACCTGACATTGTCTCTTTAATACTCAGGGGGAAGCTTGACTGACCTAGTAATTTCAGTGAATATCATCTGTGGGACATCCCCTTGGGTACCAATATTCTTTCTGACAAACAATAAGAAAGAAACTGGAGACTCTGGTCCTTGTCCGTCAGCTGAAATCCCCCTTGCCATACTACCACCCAACAACAAAAGCTCAGTTAACTCCTGGGGGGGTACCAAAATAGAGGAGAGTTTGAGACCAAGTTACCTCTTTTCAGGGGCAGAGCCTTCATCACTAATTATGACTAAGAACACCTCGTTTGGGGTTATAAAACACTTTCTGATCTACTATTGCATTTTCTTCCATACAGTTATATCTTAAACTTAGGGGTGTGCAGTGGAGAAAGGAGGAAATCAGGGTTGAGTCAGTGGCAGGGCTGGAAGGCAGGTTTCCAGGCCCTGAAACCTAGCAATCCTACTTGGTTTCCTGAGCCTACTGTTTCAAACTCTGATCCCAGAGATCTGGGCCTGAAAAAAGAAGAAGGAAAGGGGGGGGTATGGCCAGAAGAGACAGGAGCCTCTCCTCCACCCACCCTGTCTCTTTAGCTTATTGTGAACCAGTCTACAGCACTTCACTAAAGGAGCAAAAGCGGCTCTTTCCTGAACACACATAGTCATAAAGCAACGCACAATGCCTGTATTGCCTTTGAAAGTCTAAGAAGTACCAGAGCAAGTAGAAATGCAGGCCAAACTGGGAGAGGCAAGTTGTGGGTTCAAATCCTCAGTTCCCATTCTGTCTCATGGGTTCTACCTTTATTCCATCAGCTGGACCATAGAACTGGTTGGGATGGCAAGTCCCACAGTTCAAGGTGCCCGGTGGGA